TTTACTAAGTGTCTAAATGTGCCAGGTCCTGTGCCAAGCCACAGAGGGAATACAGAAGGGGTAGCACTTACTGTTCCCTCCAGGGGTTTACAACCTAACTGGGAAAACAAAGACCACACATAAATAGTGTTGTTTACCACCACATAGGGTGCACCGCGTGCCAGACTGAGTGGTAAGATGGCAGCTGTGGTCGTCCTTCAGAGGAGACGGAGATGTGCAGGGCTGGCATCACCCTGGAGGGCTTCCTGGAGAAGGGGCCCTGTAGGGTTGGTAGACACAGAGACCAGCACAAATACTCTAGATAGGGAGCCGCAATGGGGGTGAGTGGACCAACACTAGGATGAAGCGCGGGCCCACGAGCAGCCAAACCCACCAGAAAGACAAAGATGAGGGAGCAATATGGAACCAGCTCGTGAGACAGAGCGTGGGGCTAGATTACCGACAGTTCAGAAAGACAAACAAACCCAATATTGTTGTCGTGGAGTTAATTCCGACTCATGGCGACCCCATGTGTTACAGAGTAGAACTGCCCCATAGTGTTTTCTTGGTTGTAATCTTTATAGAAGTAGATTGCCAGGACTTTCTTTCACGGCACTGCTGGCTGGGTTTGAACAGGCAACCTTTCAGTTAGTAGCTGAGTGCAAACTGTTGGCACCACCCAGGGACCTCCAGAAAGACCAAAGGAAGAGTTATTCACGTAGGACAGGGGAGGGCCGTGGAAGTGGAAGGTGAATCTGCAGTTTTTCTGAGCGTGGATTAGGGTCTAGAATCCCACTGTTTCTGAGGTCTCCACGTGATGAGGGCTTGGTGCAGAGTGGCAACGAGAGTGGAGAGAAAAGCATGTTGTGGGGCAGAATTAATAACTCGCGTGACTAATTATCAAAACCAATCAGTGCTGTCGAGTTGACTGCAACTCTTGACAACCCCATGTGCGTCAGAGTAGAACTGTGCTCCACAGAGTTTTCAATGGCTGGCTTTTTCGGAAGTGGATTGCCAGACCTTTCTTCCAAGGTGCCTCTGGGTGGACTCGAACCTCTAATCTTTCAGTTAGCAGCTGAGCACTTAACCGTTTGTGCCACCCAGGCAGCCTGTGTCTAACTGGGTGTCGAGAATTCAAGGCATAATGAGTCAAACAGGAGTCGAAGTTTTGTAGAGGTAACGGGGAGAGAGTGGCCTTGAGTTGACAGGCAAAAGGCTGGAAGGGGGAGCTGACTGAGGGAGAAGATGTGTTTAACTTCACATGTATTGCCAGAGTGACAGGCAAGTGGAAACCTCCTGAAGGCATTTGTGGACACAGGCCCAGGGCTCTATCATCCATGGTTATTTTTCTCACATTGGGTTTTCTCGGGAGCCAGCTGGTTTATTCTGCCAACTCATGGGGACACTCCCACCAGGCCCAACATCAACAGCCAGCTGACCCTGCCTGTGAAGACCATGTCTGAAGGCGAGAGACTAAACTTGGCCCATCCTGATAATATCCCTCCACAATCTCTTCAGGATTTCCCCCACCCCTGCCCTGGAAAGCCGGCCTTGGCACCAGAGGGAAGTCATGCTGGCTATTTCTGTCCTTTCTCCTCCTCCCCCGCTCAGTTTCTTTCCTGTGACTTTCTGTCCCTTTCTCTGCGCATTGCCTCTTCCACTCTTGACTGTTGCTGCTCTTCTCTCTCCCTGGCGTTTTAAATACTTTCTCCTGCTATCCGGCTCTCAGGGGCGGTCAGTTCACAAGGCTCAGCCCACAAACAGCAGCTCATCAGGCTTCTGGGAGATCCTTGAAGCAAGTGTGAAGAAATTTAAAAGTGTCAAAGCAGAACAACAAACCAGACAGGAAATGAAAGACAACAAATGTCACATTTTTCTGGGAGGAAAACAATTAGTTGTGTTCAGTGGAGTAATTAATCTGGTGTTAGCATTTTGAGGAAACAGTGTAACTGTCGACGTGAGGGGAACACTGTGCCTCTGTTGCTGGATCATCTCCACACGTGTTCCTTTTCTGCTGGTCATCCTTGTGTGTACAAACCCTGCCAAGATCTTTCTAGAACACTGTCATTTCAATGACTATTTTTATATTCCTATAAGCTCTCCTTCCTAATATGGCATGCTTATACTGTGAGAGTCGGTAGATTTAATGAGAACTGTCTATATTTCCATTCAGAACAGTCACCTCCTCCACCCCCAACTCTCCACCCTCACCCACCCCTTAATATATCTGCCCAGATATTCCATTTCCATAAACAATGAGTCTAGATTTTCCAACCCTCCAACCCCACCCCAACCCATACATATCTGTATGTATACTGCATCCCCACAGTACAATGGATCTAGCATTTTCCATCCCTCCACCCATACAACCCCCCATGTATATCTGCACACATATTCCATCCCCACAACTCCCTCCCGACAACACAATGGGTCCAGAATTTTCTGACCCTCCCCTCCTGCCCCACCCACACGTATCTGCAAGTGTACTTCATTCCCACAACACAGTGAGTCTACCATTTTCCAACCCTCCATCCGTACAACTCTCCCGTGTATATCTGTACACATACTCCATCCCCACAACACAACGCCATCCCCATAGCACAGTGGGTCCAGCATTTCTGACCCTCCATCCTGACCCCACCTCACCTGTACAGCCAGGAACAGTTTTTTCCCACTGAAAAATGTGTCCAGCGCTCTGTCCTATATAATCTCATTCTAAGCTTCTTACGATTTCAATATTTTGATTTTAGTTAAAATTTAACTTGGATGATGATAATTCAGAATCTTTAATAATTTGGCTAGACTCAGTAGAAGTCTATACATACAGTGGCTGGGGAAAGCAGCTTTGCACCCTCCCAAATAGTAATATAAACCAAATCACAGAGGGGAATGTTAACATAATTGAGAAACAAACCATTGTCAAATATGTTCACAGTCATTATACACAAATAGTTTTAAGTACAGATGATCTCTTTTGTCCATTAAAGCAGAGCAGGCCAAGACTTTTACTTGGCAATCTATTTTTTTAAAGCTGTTAGTTTATTTTAATACTCCAAACTACTTGAAAGCAATATAACTTCAATTCTTTTTTTTTTTTGTTTATGTAATTGCATTCACACTGTTCCAGACTTTTTTATGAATTAGTTTGAATAATTGAAATGTTGCTTAATCCTTATTCTTACTGTGGTGCTGTGTTTTCTGCAGGGTTTCTGGGAAAGCCAGCTAGAGCTCAGAAGGCGATACGGACCTCTGTGTGGGTAAGGGGAAGTGCCACACTCTTCTGCTGTATATTTTGATTTCTGCAAGTGGAATTGCTCTGAAAGTAATTACATGAACAGGAATGCTGCGTGTGTTTATATCTTTCGGGGGCCCACAAAGAGGGTGTCCTGCAGTACAGACAGGGCTCCTGGAGAATTCCCCAAGGTTGCCCAAGGGGGCACTGCTAGCCTGGAAGGGCACCCATCCTCAGCTGCAGGACCTTTCTCAACTGGACCAGGTCCCAGGGGTGTTCTGCAATGGGGCAGGGTGGCCCTTCATGCCTTCAGAGCATACACAGAACATACCGGTTGCCATGGAGTTGATTTTGACTCATGGCGACCCCATGCGTATCAGAATAGAACTGGGCTCTATAGGGGTTTCAATGGCTGATTTTTCAGAAGTAGAACTCCAGGCCTTTCTTCTGAGGTGGACTTGAACCACCAACCTTCTGGTTAGCAGCCTAACGTAACTGTTTGCACCATCCAGGAACTTCAAACAGAACATGTTGCTGTTGCGTGCCAGCAAGTCAATTCTGACTCACAGAGACCCTGTAGGACAGAGTAGAACTGCCCCATAGAGTTTCCTAGGCCGGAATCTTTATGGGAGCAGATTGCCAGGCCTGTCTTCCAAGGCCCCTCTGGGTGGGTTTGAACCACCAACCTTTCGGTTAGTAGTTGAGTGCTCAATCGTTTGCGCCAGCCAGGGACTCCTTTAAAAACAAAAGGGATGTTTTTAATAATTGCCCCAGACGACAGTGTAAACAAAGACTGTGTTGGACACACTGAGGCTTGTGGTCACCCTTGTTCTCGGCACAGAAAGCAATACAGCCTTCCCTTTGTTTGTCCTAATTTTTCTTTTTTTAAAAAACGTATTGTGTTAAAATATATATATAACATAAAACTTGCCATTTTAAGCATTTTTAAGTGTAAGTTCATTGACATTAATTGCATCCACAATGTTGGGCAACCTTCACCACTGTCTATTTCCAAAATTTTTCATCACCCCAAACAGAAACTCCACACTCATTAAACAATAATTCTCTATTCTTCCTTCCCTCAGCCCTCGGTAACCGCTAATCTACTTTCTGTCTCTATGGATTTGTCTATTCTAAATATTTCACAGAAGTGGAATCACAGAATTTTTTTTTAATATCAGGCTTTTTTCACTCCGCATGGTGTTTTCAAGGTTCATCCATGTGGTAGCATGTGATCAGGGCTTCATCTCTCTTTCTGGCTGAGTAATATTCCATTGTATATAGAAAGGACATTTTGTTTATCCATTCATCTGTTGATGGACAGTGGGGTTGTTTCTACCTTTTGGCTATTGTGAATAGTACTGTAATGAACATTGGTGTACAGGTATCTGTTTGAGTCCCTGCTTTCAAGTCTTTTGGGTATATACCTAGGAGCGGAATTGCTGGGTCATATGGTAACTCTGGAGCCTTGGTGGTGCCAGTGGCTAAGTGTTCAGCTGCTAACCAAAAGGTCGGCAGTTTAAATCCACCAGTTGCTCCTTGGAAACCCTGTGGGGCCGTTCTACTCTGTCCTATAGGGTCGCTATGAGTTGGAATCAACTCGACGGCAACAGGTTGGGTTGGTTGTATGGTAACCATTTAACTTTTTGAGGAACCGCCAAACTGTTTTCCACAGCAGCTGCACCATTTTACATTCCACCAGCAAAGCACGAGAGTTCCAGTTTCTCCGCATCCTCATCAACACTTGTCATTTTCCATTTTATTTTATAACAGCCATCCTAGTGGGTATGAAGTGGTGTCTCATTGTGGGGTTGATTTGTATTCCCTTTGGAAACCCTATGGAGCAGTACTACTTTGTCCTGTAGGGTCGCTGTGAGTCAGAATCGACTCAACAGCAACGGGTTTGGTTTTGGTTTAATTACTAATGATGTTGAGCGTCTTTTCATGTGCTTATTGGATTATCTTCCTGAATTTGCCTTTTTTAAAAAAAAATTTATTGTGCTTTAGGTTAAAGTTTATAAAGCAAATTTGTTTCCTCTTCAATGGTTTGTACATAAAGTGTTCCATGACATTGGCTGCATTCTCCACAATGTGTCAGCACTCTCCCCGTTTCTGCCCTGGCTTCCCCATTGCCTTTCACCTGGATTTTCTACCTCTTCCTTCCTTCTCATTTTTGCTTTTGGGCAAATATTGTCCTTTTGATCTCATGTTATTGATTGTTCTAAGGAATACGTTCCTCTCAGGTATTACTGTTTATTTTATGGGCCTCTCTATTGTTTGGCTGGCAGGTGGTCTCCAGGAATGGCTTCAGTTCCAGGTCAGAAGGGTGCCTTAGGGCCATAGTCTCAGGGGTCCCTCCAGTCTCTGTCAGACCAGTAAGTCTGGTCTTTTATGTGGATTTGACTTTTTTGTTCTACAGTTTTCTCCTGCTCTGTCCAGGTGAATTTGTCTTTTTCATGCTTCAGAGTGTGCTCCTCATTTTCCAGTATTCCAGAATCTGGTGAACAAGCCCGTGTTCATACCATTTACTCCATTCAGGATTTAACAGACTGAAACCACATGGATTCTCAACACAGGTCTTCCTGTGCTACAGTCCTAATTGTTTTGTCTGTTCTCACACAGCGTCTCCTCAGCCGCTGGGTGAGTGTTAGTGACTCTCTTGCAGACCTCCAGGTCTGTGAAGACTCTGTTAGGTCAGGGAAGGTTCTGTTGTGTTCCTAATACACATCCTAATGGGGCCTGTGGTCTGTGAGTCCTTCTGTCCCCAGGACACATGACACCTTTCTTCCCATGCTCATTTTCAAAAGACAATGACTTATGTTCTCTGTGGAAATGCCCTACCCAGGAGAATCACAGTTTGGCCAAGTTCTTCTACCTACTCTTTGGTTTGCTATTGGCCCTGAAAGAGAAATAAATTAAGATGTTATACTAGACACTTTCTGCATCAGTGTGCCATCAATGTATAATAAACTACTCTAAAACTCAGTGACTCAAACAACAATTTATTTTTTATCATGTGTCGAAGGGTTGGTTGGAGTTGACTGGTCTATGCTAGACTTGGCTAGGAGATTCAGCGGGATGTCTGCTAGGTCCTGGTGTGTCTGCAGGTCAGCTGGGGAGGTGACTCTTCTGGGCCAGGCTCAGCTAGGGCAGCTCTCATCCTCCTGGGTACAGCAGGCTACCAGGGCACGTTCTTCTCATGGTGCAGGCAAAAGTTCAAGAGAGCAAACCCAACAGCACAAGGACATTTTAAGTCTCTGTTGCAGCATATCTGCTCACATCCTATTGGCCAAACCAAGTTACAGGGCCAAACCCAACGTCAAGGGCAGCAAGCATTCTCTGCCCACCCACCGTGAAGCCAAAGCAAGCCAGTTGGCCAAGCGTGATGTTGACAGAGCAGTGAGGTTACCCTCTACTGTAAGTGCAGGAGGCAGGGCATGCCTTTGGATGATAAGCAACTCTACTTCACTCTCCAGGATCTCTTTTAGCTTGGTCTTTACTTTTTATTCATTTTTTTAGTGCATAGCTTCTTGCTTTAAACACGATTGTTGTTGTTGTTAGGTACTGGCGAGTTGGTTCCAACATAGGTAACCCATGTAAAACAGAATGAAACACTGCCCAGTCCTGTGCTGTCCTCACAATGGTTGCTGTGTTTGAGCCCGTTGTTGCAGCCACTGTGTCAGTCCACCTCATCGAGGGTCTTCCTCTTTTTCACTGACCCTCTACCTTACCAAGCATGATGTCCTTCTCCAGGGACTGGTCTCTTCTGATAACATGTCCAAAGTAAGTGAGACAAAGTCTTACTAACCTTGCTTCTAAGGAACATTCTGGCTGTACTTCTTCCAAGACAATTTGTTCGTTCTTCTGGCAGTCCATGGTATATTCAATATTCTTCACCAACACCATAATTCAAAGGCATCAATTCTTCTTCGGTCTTCCTTATTCATTCCATGACAGATACTCAATAAAGGCTCAAGGATTGAACTGTTTACCTTTCTTTTACCCTTGTGCTATTCTATTGCTTTTTGAAAATTCTTATCCCCCTCTCTCTTTTCCAGTAGTCTCATTCTGAGGTTGGCTTGATGCTGACGTTGGAGACTGTCCCATATGTTTCTGAGATGCAGCACTGACTCAGGGACTGTGGCTCCCCCAGAATTAGAAAAAGTCCCTCTGAGTTTGAATTCTAGGAATTGCATCCTTTGAGTACTTTATGTACACATTTTTCAGAGTAGAGCCCTTGAGTATTTTAAAATAATTTTTAGATGTCAGATGAAGAGTCTAAAGGGCACTTTATTAACTGCTGTGTGTGTGTGAGTGTGTGTGGTGCATGTGTGTGTGCGAGAGTGCATGTAGTGTGTGTATTGTGGTGTGTGTATGTGTGTGCATGTCAGTGTGTATATGTGTGTGGTGTGTGTATGTGTGTATGGTGTGGTTTGTGTGTATGTGTTTGAGTGTGTATGTGTGTGAACGTGTGTGGTGTGCATGATTACATGTATGTGTGTATGTGTGCATGTGTGTATATGTGTGTGTGGTGTATGTATGTGTGTGGTGAGTGTGTGTGTGAGTGTGTATGTGTGTGGTGTGTGTGTGTATGTGAGTGTGTGTATGTGTGTGTGGGGGGAAGTAATGGAGAGGAGAGGAGAGAACTGGTTTCCTTGACAACAGGATGTCCAATCACCTTCCCCCCCAACTTGAATTAAGTTAACATAATTCATCCTTTTCATTTCGTGGAAACCTAAGTCATAGAGAATAATTTCAATGAGGTTGTAGAGATCTAAACTGCAGTGTCAACCTTACTGTTTGTTTCCATCTCTGGTGAAAAGGAAGAAAGAAAGAAAGGTGATGATGTAATTTCTTCATACACAGCTGTCAACTTCTCCCCTTTAGAAAAAATAATGCTGAACTATAAAATACTGACTTCTTTTTAAATGTGTTCACTTCTGGATTTTGAGGCAATATGGTAAAACAGAATGACTTCTGAATGTCATGAGGTAGTCCTGTGTGGCTCTTTCATCTCAACCACCT